CCCAAAAAAAAGAACCGGCTCTGGGGTGTAGGCAAGCAAGGTGGTTTTCATTTCGATCTCTCGCAAAGCGCGGAGTCGCGCGTCGGGGTCGAAGCGAGTCCACGCGGCCTCCACCCGTAACAAAGTCTCGACGAGTTCTGTTCGTGTTCCGTTCGACCCACAAAAACTAAAAGAAAATCAACTGAAAAATATATGCAAGAGAGATTTTTTGTCATGAAAACACGATTACAATTATAAAAAAGATTTTTATTTGAGATCAGCGTGCACGGATTACGGTACGCACTGATCCGGCTTAGGTGGCTCAGGGCATCAATTGATGTCACTGCAGTGCCTCTGACCGGGAAGGCCCAGGGCTCGAGTTCCGATGGTGGCGGGAGTTCGGACACTAGCGAAATAGCTGTGTCGAATTCAGACACTCACCGGAGAAGCATTCTAGCGGCCGGCTACTCTTGACCGGCTGTTTCCTGTGGTTTCTCGGATTAACACTGGACGATCGCCGGAGCAATACCCTAAGGCGCCGGTCACAGGCGATTTTGGCTGAAATTTCGGTCGCCCGACCTTGGAAATTTCTGTGCGATGCTTTTGTTCGTTCAAACACGTGCTGATAAAAGCAAATGGTCAAAGTGAACCCGAAAGACCTTTTCGGACGGTGTCCGAAAACATCGGCTTTTTTTATTTATTTATTTATTTATTATTATTATTATTATTATTATTATTATTATTATTATTATTCTGACGGTTCCATTCGCCTGACGTCAGCTTGAGTGCCAAGGCCATCTGTAAAACCAAGACCATCTATTCTTGTAGAAGTTCTTGAGCGTGCTTCTGGCAAATGTTTCAAACAATGAGCTGTGGAATTATGGGAATATTGGGCCGATTTCGGGTGCAACATTAACCCAAGAAACAGACCACGCACCGCGCACGATCTTTCTCGTCGCTCTCCTATTCCTCCCCTTACACTTACATGCGCTTCGCTAACACGTCGAGAGACCAATCGGTAAATTAGAACTTGCCCCGGCTGAGGCTGAGCCCCGCTAATGGGAGATAGCTTGTTGAGGAATACCCTGCAAACTGATGTGCAGGTAGACACCGGTTATCACCAGTAAGCGGACCGGAAGGGGAGGCTCAGGGCGTCAACGGCTGTCACAGTAGTGTTGTTGACAGAGAGGTCCTAGGTGGCAGGGTTTTCGACACTAGGTAGCTAGGTCGAGTTCTGTCGCTATCTGGAGGAAAGTTCTAGCGGCCGGATGCTGTGATCGGTGGTTTTCTGTATTTTGACTGATCAATGCCAGGCAAATGCCGGAATAGTACCCTCACAAACGGATCACGCGCGATCTTTCCTTTCCGTTTCTTGTCCTACTCCTTTCTTACACACACACACACACTCTACTACGCACGCCGGGAAACAGGCCGAGAGCTTAGAACTTGTGCCGGCAGGGACTGGTGAGAGGTTCCATGATTAGGGAAAACCCCGCTAACTGACAGGTCGGCGGCGCAGCTCGCCATCCAACGGGAGGAAGATCGCCGCCTCCCGAGCAAAAAGCACGCACTACACTTTCTGAGCTAATAGCAGTCGGCGCGCCCGAATCACTAATCAATCACCAATAAGCGTGGGAAGATCACCGCCATCTCCCGGATAAAACATGCACTACTCTTACGGGACTAACCGTAGCTGTTGCGGCTCCCGGAAACCTCAACAAGCGATGTGACGTAGGTCGGCGCCGAGTACTTCACAGGGGCAAATTATTCACATTCAGTCAGGCGGCTTGTAGGGAATACTTCACTTTTTATAAGGCGGACAGAGCCTGTCTTCACGATGGAATATCACACATTATTTCCCGTCTTTCTCGGTCGTGCCAAGATCGCGGCCGTATCAAGCAGTGCGATGTGTCTAGGGGCATCTTACAGCGCGACAGAGAAACACGCGAAATGCCGTAAGATATTTCATCATGAAGACAGGCCCTGACGCGCCATGTTATGAAAACAGAACTATAGTACCAGTGTCCCGTAGCACCATGGACAAAAATGAAGGAAAATAAAATGTTCACAACAAAGGTTTATAAAATATAGTTTCTTCAAAATATTTTATAGTAATTTGAACGAGTGCTTAGTAATTTGATGTCCTGTCAATACTCTTCAAACTTATAGGGTGTGGTGCTGTTGGCCTCCTGCGATTTATCTATGTCTGTGCCCACAACGCCGTATAAAGAACCCTGGGTTGGTTTATATGGGTGTCTTACGGGCCAGACGTTGCCAAATTCGTACTGGCACAAGTTCACGTTCTCCTCCATAGAGTGCACGAATGGCACTATCTTTATCGTGCAGACTCTCTCTCGCTCAGACTGACCGCGATTCCCTGGTCTTTCATTGTGGTTCGCACATGGAGAGGCGGCCTTCTCTCCTTCCCGCACCTTTCTTTAGCGAACGCAGGAAGCTGTGACCTCTTACGACTACTGTGGGCGCTCAGGATTTCAGGATGAGCATTTTAATGTGCTCTTATTATTTTTAGTTAAAAATTCAATTATTTTCAATTGTTCGCTTTGTATTTTTTCATTAGTAATTTCTCTATATCCTTCTTCAGATTCGGTGCTCTCTCCATACTTGATTCTGCATTATCCTGTTTTTTTTAAGTGTCGTAATGCAGTCTTGACACCCTTCAATGCTGCTTGCACTGTTGGAACACCGCCCCACTCTCCGAAGGCCTTTTACTCACCTAATAACATATGAGATGCTTTCGGAAGCGGGATACCGCAAGTGGCTAATGAAACTGATCAGTCTTACGCGCGATATGGCGGATATCGCCAGGCGGTGGCGGTCGCGTGCTTCCTGTCGCCTACGTAGAACTCAACGCGCTTTGTCCCGCGGAATATCGAGTAACACCTAGATCGAAACTGAAGCAAGCAATCGCGCGTCGCCTCCGCCAGATGTACCCCCGCAGGATGCGGCCTTTGTTTCCGCAATGGAATTGAACGGCATAAGGTCATCAGTAAGGACCCTATTTCAGGTCCGCTGCCTCCACTTCAGGAGAGACTTATTAGATTATCACCTTTTGCCGACGATATGCTTTTCAATCTGCCAAGTGTTGGAATTTGTGGCATTGAGACGATATATTCTTTTCCAGGTGGGAATTAATTTCCAGTACATATTTATTACGATTTCTATAGCCGAGGTCAGAGTTCACTACCACCGACTCTTCACTTATTTCTAATGTAAGTGAAACGGGATCACTACATCCGTCTTCACTATAATTGGAGTGGACATTTTCAAAAATTACTATTTTTTTTAATGATTGTCTGAAATGGCAATGTACCATTTAGACTAAGAGGGCCATGTGTGACAACCACCGTGTGAGAAAGAAACAACACCATATAACTCCTTACTGCTGTCTTAAGGTTGAGATTCTCAGCAATTCCTGACTCCCGAACAGTCGAGGGGACTTCTTGATTTGTACTAGAGTAAAAACAAAGGGTCTGTTTTCTTTTACTTTAATGGGGATAAATGTGCCTAAAGGCTGTTGAATGGTACCAGTAATGCTAGTCTAGAGAAATCATACAAATGTTGTGTACAAGTCTAAAAGACGATCCGTTGCCAGATTTAAGAAATCGCACTGGGTGCTGAAAGCAACTTTCTGGCAAACTAAGGGAGAAGAGAAACCCTGAATATTTCAGGAAATATAAATATCTGAGCCAGTCACATTAATGTGACCATCCGTCCTAATCCTAAATAATCCCATTTTGCCGCGCTGTCCGCTGCGCGACGTGCAGGAAGAGGGTGCATGTGGTTGTGGGACGTACCGACTAGGTCTTGGGGCCAGCTGCGCTAGGTGCCTTGTTCGCGTAGCCATGGGTCGAACCGCCCGATCGAGATGGCCACACAGATTCTTGATTGCGTTTAAATGGAGGGGAAGTTCGGTTGCCAGGGAAGTATTGTAAATTTTTCCCGGTACTCTCCCGCGGAACCACGCACGCACACGAGCGCACCAGTTGTATGACACTCAGCGTTGACCTGCTGGTAGATGCCCTCTGCGTGTAGAGGTGGACATGTTCCTCAAGGATGGCTGTACTATTTTGTTGGTACATGTACCTTTCAGAATGAGGAGGTCATCCTAGGAATGCCTCCAAATCATACCCCACACAATCACGCTCCCTCCTCCGGCCTGGATCCGTCCGGCGATTGCTGCTGGTTGTTCGCGTGCAGATGTTTCTCGCCGCACACCCCAACGAACCGTCTGCCCTATGGAGCGAAAAACGTGATTGGTCTGAAAAGGCCACCTGTCGCCTCGCGGTGGGCGTGCAAATTGCAGCCTTCGCCGCCGATGACCTGCAGTCAGCATGGGTGCATGGACTAGACGCCTGCTGCGGAGGCCCATGCGCAGCAACGTCGGCTGAACGGTTGTTGAGGAGATCCGGCTGGTAACCTCCCATACAAATCTTCGCAGCCGTTCTTCTCCCGTGTATGTCTTGCTGTGCGTTACAGTGCCTCAGCGCCATTTTGTCACGCGCGGTGCACTTTCACCCTGGCGGCACGCGAACAATTTACACATCCAGCCGTTTTGAAAATGCTTCCGCCCGCGGTCCAAATGCCAACGATCATGCCCATTTGGGCATGAGATAAATCGCTGCTTCTGTATCACCACTGCACTGTTTTGCGCCTGCACTCCCCGCGATCTTTACGCCCCGACCGTTAGTGATGTCACCTGCAGTCTGCGAGGGGTCGCTGTACCAATGTACTTCTCTTAAATTTATGACATGTTTATTTTGGTATATGTAGGTGTACTTAATGGTCAATGTTAGTTTACATTGTCAATTACAATTTAAAATATGATGATGTTTTGAATAATGTATGCTTTTTTTTATTTGCAAACGTGATTGGTTTTAACTAGTGCTTAATTTCTAAAACTGTAGGTACCGAAATACACTGCAAAAATTTGAATATTTTGATATAAATAGTTATGTAATCTTTTTATAATTTAATAATTGTTAATGTTAATAATAAAAATACAAAGTAACAATGATAATGAAAATAAAACCACATAATTATAGAAATAACATTATATTAAAAAAATTCAAAATGTGATATTTTTATAGGTTATTTATTAATAATATTATTACTTCTAGGGAGACATTTATGAGGAAAAGTATTTAAGTTTGTTTTACAAACATAGGAAATTTAAAATCGATGACACCAAGTGTTTACTTAATGTTTTTTGTTTGCCTTCATATTTTTTGGTGAGGTACCGGGAATTTCAATTCCGCCGGAAATCAAGCCCTGGTTTTAACAATGATCTTTATTAGCCTTTGTTTTGTTGATATTTTCTTCTTCTGGAAAGATTATTTCTTGACAAAATGTTATCTTTATTTTCAGTACATTGCAGCCTTGCGCAGCAAAGCAGTGTGGTGTTTATATTGGATAGGATTGGGTGTTCTATCTTCAGTGGGGCTTGGAACTGGACTGCACACATTTTTGTTGTATCTTGGTCCACATATTGCTGCTGTAACGTTGGCTGCATATGAATGTGGAAGTTTGAATTTTCCTGAACCACCATACCCTGATGAGTAAGTTCTGAATTTTAATGTTCCAGAGTCAAATAATGAATTTCAACAACACCATATGGCAATCTTTACTTACTTGCATTATTTGTAACTAGTATTGTAATCGTGCATCTAAAACGGCGAATTTTCTATAAAAAAAAAAAAACTTTCCAGATCCTGGTAACAAAAAAAGTGGATAATTTTGTTCCTATGTGTGCTAAATTACTTCATCTAATATTGTGTATTCAGAATCTCTGTTTTGTGCTTTTTTACACCGAAAAATTCCTTGACTGCCAGAATCTGTCTGTCTGTGTCTGTCGGTCTGCCTGCGGTCAGTGCTAGCACTTAAACCGTTCAGAGGATTTTCTCCAAAATTGATCTTTCTCGATCGATCTGAACGAACTTGAGACCATTCTAATTTGAAATTTGAATTTTTGATTGACATTTGAATAATTGATATTTTCATTTTTGAGGATACTTTTCATGAAGCTTCAATTACATTTTCCAAATTTTTTCAAAAATGGCTCCAAATTTTTAATAAACTTTTTCCTCGGATAGTGTCAAGGATCCTTAAAAGATAGACGCCGATCACATTTCTGTTGAAATCCCTGATATTCTCAAAATCGAAGAAGTTCAAACCTTTTTTCTGCGTCTTCCTACAACTACCCTGCAATGCTCACTACAATCATCATTGCTATCATACTGAAAAGTACACACCAATTCAGAAGTATAGTGGAAACACTCATTGAAAACGCAAATGCTACTTCAAAATGCACTGAACTGCATAATACAACACTGTGCAAAAAGAATGCACTGCGACTAAGCATCAGTGCAGCATTGGTGACTTATGTCTCCACCAGATTGATGTAGACCTCTCAACAACATTTTCTTTAATTATTAATTTGTATATATTATATACAAACATGTAAGTTACATGTGTGGCCATTATATACTTCCAGCTTTCAAGCAACACCTTATTTGCTGAGATTGAATAGTTCATGAGGAAAAATGATGTTACTTAGCATGATACACTCATAACACGATAACAATGATATTTAATGTATTAATTACCTTTTGGATTGTATAATTCTAAATAACCTGTAATAAGTATTGTACCTCTGAATAAAACCTAGTACACTCCTAGCGACATAGTTGTAGAACACGTGTATCGCGACAAGTTCCAGGGATGTCCCACAACATTTTTTCTGTGTTTGGAACTGTTGGGATACAAAAGTTATATGCTGCATGTCTCCCATTCAAAATGGGATACATGATACAAATGCAGTCTGGACGTCTTGCGAGACAAAGTTCCGAGACCTACCAATTCCTGTCTGCGAAAGCTGCCATGAGGTGTTGTGTTCCAATATTTTGCAATGGAAAGTACTCTAAAAATTATTGAGGATTTACACACCTTCCCTGGTCTTTGGGACGTTATGTCTACCCCATATAAAAACAGGTACAAATGGAGGGAAGCAAAGGAGTCTGTGGATGAAAAATGTATTATGACTTGCACAAAAAACTTACGAGATCCAAAGAAAGTGGCTCCCAAAAAGTCAAACTGTTTTGGTTACCAGCATTCAAAGCTTTTATTACAAGGGATGGAATCAATAGAAAAACTTATGTAAAAAGTCGCTTCTCCAGTATCGCCTATTTTTTCTTTATAATAACATTAAGATGTTTAAGCACAATTTAAAAGCACATAAAATAGTTTGTGACATCTCTTGCTGATTTATGTTACTACTGGCTCTAAAGAGCTATGGACGCGGGACATTGTGTCGCAACTGTCCTCACACAAAGTCCCGTGTCTTTGTCGCTAGGTTTGTTCTAGGCTTAAGAGTCAATGACCCTCATCTCGATCAGGTTTTTCGTCGTCATGATCCTTTGAGTAAATGTTGAGATGGCCCCTTGTTAGCTTGTTGACAAATAAAACTCCACTATCTGTGCACTTCTTGGGTTTTGTGGGAATTGTCTCTGGGATGAATCTTATATACATCTCCATGGATACTAAACCATCATTCTAAACACACACACTAAACCTTCAAACGTGCATGGCTGTGACCACTTCCCATTTCTCGTCAATTTCCTGACCCAAATGTTGCTCCTACTGTTCGTTGGCTAACCCATCGAGTTGAGTGTGAAACATTCGAGAAAGAAATACGGATATCATAAAACTGCCCAAACAATATCGATACAATGGTGGCCCATTTTACTGGTGCCATTCTTCCTGCGGCCTCAATTGCCATCCTGAAGCTGGCAGGTCACCCATGACATCCTCCTGTGCCATGGTGGAATGCCGACTGCCACCGTGGTTCATGATCAGAAACGGGCATTGGCAAAGGTTCCCAACCATGGATAATATGATAAATTATAAAAGATCACGAGCCAGAACTAGATTGACCTTACGGGAAAGTAAGGCTGCATACTGGAGAGCTTAAATTTCATCACTCTCCTGCCATATGCCCCCTGATGTAGTGAGGCGAAAGGTTCGACACATTGGTGGAAGACTTCCTTTGCCATCTGTCTCTGGGCTTCTGGACCTTATCACCTCACCAGGAGATATAGTTAAAGAATTGGCCTCTCACTTTGAGCATATCTCCAACTCCGTACACTACTCCTATCTTTCTGAAGACCAAAAGGAGAATGGAGAACTGAAGACTACATTTCTCGAGTCACATGTAAGAAGAATGCAATGCTCCTTTCTCCACGGATGGATTTTTCTGTGCTCATGCTCACGCAAAATATTCTGCTCCTGGACCAGACAAGATAATCAAATGCTTAATCACCTACCGGAAAATGCTTGTTCTTTTCACCTCCGCATTTTCAAGGTGATTTGGGATGAACACTCCTTATCAAGGATTTTGCGTGAAGCCATTGTCATTCCAGTCCCAAAAGAATTAAAGGACAGAACAATCCGTTGAAGTTACTGCCCAAACTCTCTTACAAGCTGTGTGTGCAAGCTTTTAGAGCAAATGGAGGTAAGGGCCATATAGAAGAGAAGAAAACAACTGAAGTTTGGATTCATTAGGAATATAAAATCACCCTGCAGAGAGACAGTTTAGATCCACAGTATTCCAAATAAACAATGGGCAGTGTACTTCAGTAAACTATTGAAGGAAGACAGAATAGAATTTATGCTTGATACTGAGATCATAAGCCCAAGGGATTGTTCCATAAACATAACAGTTGAAAAAGTAAAGAAGAGCGTAAACGAGCTAAAAAGTGGAAAAGCCACAGAACCTGGAAATATCCAAAGCAAGCTACTAAAAAATGGAACACCAAAACTAATGCGAATGATAATTATTTATTAATGGACTGATTTACTGGAATTGATTGATGAAATGATTTATGAATGGACTAGTGCATAAATATCAGCGATGTACCAAATGAGTGGAAAGTAGTACACATCTCACCTGACCACAAAAAAGGAAGGAAGGACATCTGCAGGAATTACAGAGGGATGACAGTAAGTAATACATTTAGTAAGATGATTGGAAGGATATTGAAAAATCGCTTAGAAAGAACAAAGTGGCTTTCAAGTAGGGCACTGATAATTTATTCTGTTTATCATAAGTAATGCAAAAGAAGTGCAAATGGAGAGAATTACACATCATCTTCCTCAATATCGTGCAAGCATATGACAGTGTGCCAGTAGAGAAATTATGGGAGGTGTTACGATGTCTGAATCTGAATAGTACACTTATTGCTGCAAAGCAGGAAAGTGGGAAAGCTTGACAGAATAATTTCCAATAACTAAATGCCTAGGGCAAGGATGTTGAATTTCACCGAATACCAGTAGAGAGGTATTCTACTTTCTACACTACAGTTCGCCAATGACCAGGTAATCGTGACGCACAACCATGTTGATATAGAATTTATGCTGATAAGGGTTAGAAATGAGTATATAAAGTGGAGACTGACACTGACACTCAAAGTAAATAAAACAATGTACTGAGCATTAAATAGTAATAATGAATACATAACTATGGGTACAGGAAACAAAATAATGAAAACTGAAAAAATAAAATATATAAGGGTAAAAATTGGCACTTTATATGACATAAGGTTTTGAATTGAATTAAACAAGGCAGAAAACTCAATGGTACCCTCAATTATATTAGATTTATTAATAATTCTGCAATTAAGTGTGAGAACTTGGTGGCAGAATACACTAACT